ATATGATATGGCGGTACTACAATCTATAAAAAAAGTGAGGGAGCATGAGAAGCAAAGGTGTAGTGGGTTGGCGAGCCATTTGAAAGGGGTCGGTGCTCATAGGCAATTGGTTGACCATGTAAGAATTAAGAGTTTGAATAGTAATGGGTTGAGCGTGTAAGTTTTGAAGAGCATATTTGGGGTGGTTGAATGTTAAAAATATATTGTAATATTTCCTTTTAATAATAAAACTCGGTATTTCTCTCTCGTCTTTGTCATGCCAGATTTTACAATCGGTATCAGTGCTTCGGCAAAACACTACAAAAAATTATTCAAGAAAACCAGTATAACATCAAGATGGCCACTTGTACAAAGACTTTCACGCAAATTGCCAATAAGTGAGTTCTCTGAAACCTCAAGATTATAAAGATGGCTATCTTTTCCAAGATCAGGAGGCAGAACAGCAGTTAATTTGTTCCTGAAAAGCTTTACATCGTATAAAGATGGAATTTGAGCAAGCCGTAAAGGGATTTCCTTCTTAATTTGTTTCGATGAAGCCAAAAAATTATCTAACTGTTCAAGTTCCCGATATCTTTTTGTATAGTACCAGTGAGTCGATTTATGGAGAGATCCATGTCTATCAAACCCAAAGCTTGAATAGACCTTGGTATAATCCCTGCCAAATTATGGAGAGAGAGAGAGAAAGAGAGAGAGAGATGGACGTTTCGAATAGACAGAGAGATAAGATATAGGTTTTAGAGAGAGAGAGGTGAGCGAGAGGAGAGACGCAGAATTCACTGTCTGGTATATGAAGTACCGGACAACAAATAGTATTTCTCTTAATAATAGCCTCTGTGTCGTGTTTGAATTGTCGGACATAGGTAACTTAGGGGAAAAAAACCGTGAGAGAGAAGAAGTGGTACTCGTAATTTCGAGCAGGTGATACCCCCAATTGGTAATTGACCCATCTTAGAAGTATCCGTATGTAATTTGCTCAAACATCTTATGAGCAATTTTACAATCTCCTTTTGTGAGTGCACCTAAAGTTTGAACTCATATTGAATGTAATTATTATGGCTTCCAAAGTTCAATGGTCATCTCTGATATCGCGACTTTGTCCGGATTTTGTCATAGAGCACACCCAGAAAGATGCCCGCCCGGAATGTTGCATATGTAGAATATCACTAAGGGTGACATTCAGCTTTTCTTTGGGTATTCTCATCAGATCCCTCAGTTATGAGCCATATAGGCTCCTAGTCATATTCTTAAAATAGGATTAACTTATATACAGGGGCTTGTATTCGCATAAGCCCTGTACTTATATTAGTACCTGGTATTATAGGTTTTTTTGGAAGATTTCCATTTAAGCAAACATGACTAAAACCCATGGGTTAATGTATCCTTGGCAAGTAGGGGTGACAATGGACCCGATCACACCCAGGACTCACCTGACCTCGGGTCCGGTTATGGGTCCAAATTTGGACCCTAAAGGTCGGGTTTGGATCCAAAACCTGGACCCGAATAGTATGGGTGTATGCATAAATGTTGCCAATACGTTGATTGTTTAGAAATTTCTAGTTATTAAGTAAAAATAATAAGAAATGTGGGTATTTATAAATTTTGTACAATGCTATAAATGTTGTCAATAATATGGGTATATTATGGTAAAAAAAATAAAAAATCTCATAATCATAGCCCACATGTCTCAGTGGGTGGCAATGGACCAGACCAGACCCGGGACCCGATGGGTAGACCTGACCTCATGTCCAGGTATGGGTCCAAGGCTCTAGGTCCAAACCCTGGACCCGAATTCTATACAGGTCCAGGTCCAGGTCCAGGTCCAGTCAGACCTAACCAGTTGGGACCCCTATTTGCAAGATCCTCAACATGCATATATGCTTGAAACCATGTATCCATACTCCCTTGAGTTCGATTCTCGATGTGAATCTGTAGTAGACTCCAGAATGAGCATATTATGATCCAAGCTCACAACATGCATGTATAAACAAAGCCCAATATTTGTGTGAACCGCTGGAGTAGCTTAGTGCACATCAATCAATTGAACTTCTCAAGAGTGACTCAGCATATATTATGTTGAAAGTTATTTGTGTTAAATAACCACGGAAGCACATCAATCAATTGAACTTCTCAAGAGTGACTCAGCATATATTTTGTTGAAAGTTATTTGTGTGAAGCACGGGCTTCCATCCAGTTTTCCAGTGTGAAATTGTCGAGTAAAACTCCAAATGAGTGGAACCCATTTAGTCCTTAATATCCAAAATACCCTTTACCCATCACAAGAAATGATCATCTGTAAATAACCCAAATTGTACCGTTGGGAGCGTGATGGTTGAATGGACTCATTACCCTTCTCTAGTGAAAAGGAAGATGTTGAAGCATGGGAGAAACCAAGTATGTCCAACTGATATAAAAAAAAAAAAAAGAAAAAAAGAAAAATAAAAAAGAAAAAGAAAAAGAAAAAAGAAAAAGAAAAACAATGGGGTCGTTTGGATAATTGGAAATAGATTTTCAGAAATGTTTTTCAGTAGAGCTGACACATTTTTGGGGTTTCGATCGAAATTTTGGGACTGAAGTATTTCTCCAGTAATCTGTTTTCCTCATTTCAAGCCAATAATAAAGAAACATGTATCATTGTCCTTACCTGCTGAAATTCATTTCCAGCCATATTTCCCCGATGTCTACTTTATAAAATACAAATAATTTCATAAAACATCCATACGATATAGACAGGGAAACTATTTCTACTTTTAGATAGGGAAACTATCTAACGTTTTTAGAGAGAAAAATTATCTCAAAGGTTTTATAGAGAGAAACTATTTCAAATTTTAAGCTTTAAAGAGAGAAAATATTTTAAAATTTTAGAGAGAGAAGTATCTAAACATATTTTTAGAGAGAGACTCTCAAGTTTTAGAGAGAGAAAGTATATATATTTTTTAGAGAGAGAAACTATTTTAAATTTTTTAGAGAGAAAAACTATATCAAGTTTTAGAGAGAGAAAGTACATGAAATTTTTAGAGAGAGAAACTATCTTAAATATTTTAGAGAGATAATAAAATTTTAAGTTTTATAAAGAGAAAGTATCGTAAAATTTTTAGAGAGAGAAACTATTTCAAAATTTAAGTTTTAGAAAGAGAAAATATCCTAAAATTTTAGAGAGAAACTATATTAATTTTTTGTTTCTCAAAATTTTTAGAGAGAGAAACTATTTTAAAATTTAAGTTTTAGAAAAAAGAAAATATCTTAAAATACTAGGGAGAAACAATATCAAATTTTAAAGTGAGAACCTACGTCAAAATTTTTACAGAGAGAAACTATTTCAACTTTTATGTTTTTAGAGAAAGAAAATACTGGAAATTTTTTTGAGAGAGAAACTATCTCAAAATTTTTAAAGAGAGAAACCATATCAATTTTCAAGTTTTAGTGAGAAAAACTATCACAAAATTTTTAGAGAGAGACTACCTCAAATATTAAGTTTTATAAAAAGAAAATACCTGAAAATTATAGACAGAGAAACTATCTCAATTTTTAAGTTTTATAGTGAGAAAGTACCTAAAAATTTTTAGAGAGAGAAACTATCTCAAAATTTTTAGAGAGAGAAGCTCTATCAAAATTTTTAGAGATAGGAACTATCTCAAATTTTAAGTTTTAGAGAGAGTAAATACTTGAAAATTTTTTAGGAGAGAAATTATCTCAATTTTTTTTAGAGAGAAACTATCTCAAAATTTTTAGGGAAAGAACTTATCTCAAAACTTTTAGAGAGAGAAACTATCTCAAAATTTTAAGAGAGACAGAAACTATCTTAAATTTTAAATTTTAGAAAAAGAAAATACTTGAAAATATTTAGAGAGAGAAACTATCACAAAATTTTAAAGAGAAAAACTCTCTCAAATTTTTAGTCTTAGAGAGAGAAACTACCTCAAATTTTATGGAGAAACTATTTTAAAATTCTTAGGGAGAGAAACTATCTTAAAATATTTGGAGAGAGAAAACAATCTCAAATTTTAAGTTTTAGAGAGGGCAAGTATTTGAAATTTTTTTGAGAGAGAAACTGCCTCTAAATTTTAGAGAGAGAAACTATATCAAATTTTAGAGAGAAAAACTACCTAAAATTTTAGAGAGAGAGAGAGACAATCTCAACTTTTTTAGAAAGAGGAACTATCTCATATTTTAAGTTTTAAAGAGAAAAGTATCTTGAAATATTAGAGCACTACATCAATTTTAGAGAGAGAAAGTACTTAAACCTTTTAGAGAGAGAAACTATCTAAATTTTTTTAGAGAGCGAAACTATTTCAAATTTTTAGTTTTAGAGAGAGAAAATATCTTAAAATTTTAGAGCGAAAAATTATAAAATTTTTTAGAGAGAAACTTTTTAAAATTTTTAGAAAGAAATTATCTCAAATATTTAGAGAGGGAAACATTCTCAAATTCGATAAAAAACGCATTATAATGAATAGTCCAACAAAAATATTTAATGAAAAAAAAATTCATGAAAATATCATGTATTCATGTACATTTTAAAAGAAATAGTAATATTTTTCCTTGGATCCAAACGGCTCTATGAGTTATGGATACAAGTCTGACCAAATTTGTAAGCTATGACACCAATCTGACAAAATAAAAAAAAGTAGGGGTAAAACACATTTTATTTTATTTTCTTGACAATGTCCCGTAGGTGTAAAACACATTTGACAATGTCCCGTAGGTGTAAAACACATTTTACAATGATCAAAACTAGAAACCAAAAAGAAAAGTTGTGATAACATGTATCTGGCGGACATAATTTGGACGGCCACACTCTTATGACCTAAGAAAAACAATCCAAGGAGTATAAATCCAGGTGTTAACAGAGGATCTCTATAAATCCAGTTTTTAACATGGGATTTATCGACATAGGAAACATCGTAAATAACATTTTTCTTTCTTGTAACCGGCTCCTCTTGGCCCCTTTTAAAGCTCTACCTTCATGGCTGAGGGCATGGTGTGCTTGACCACGCCAAATCATGACGACTAAAACCCTAACCCTAACCCTAGTTCTCTTCCTTCTTCCCATTCTACAACTAGTGAGCGCCTCTCCCACGTCGGATGACTATGGGACCTACATCATCCACATGGACCTGTCCAGCAAGCCCATGTCATTTTCCACCCATGAGCAATGGCACAAGTCCTTGCTGGCATCGGTGTCGGCCGAGGCGGGCCACCTCTACACCTACAGCCACGTCATGCATGGCTTCAGCGCTAGACTCTCTCGTGCCCAGTTAGCCCGGCTTGAGCAGTTGCCGGGCCATCGCGCCACCCGGCGCGATGCGTACGCCAAGCTCTTCACCACCCACACCCCGCGGTTCCTAGGCCTGAGAAAAAGGAATGGGATTTGGCCGGTGGCCTCCTTTGGTCGTGATGTCATCGTGGGGATCATTGACACCGGGATTTGGCCGGAGAGCAAGAGCTTCTCTGACCATGGGTTGTCTGCGGTGCCAGAGAGGTGGAAAGGGGCATGCGAGAATGGTACCGGATTCACCCCATCCCTTTGCAACAGGAAACTCATCGGTGCTCGCTCCTTCAGCAAGGGTTTACGAGCCGCTGGCCGACCGATCTCTAAGTATGATTACGACTCTCCAAGGGATTTCTATGGTCATGGCACACATACATCCTCGACAGCTGCAGGCAGTGCTGCGCGTGGTGTTAGCTACCTTGGCTATGCGAAAGGCACAGCTATGGGTGTCGCCCCTGCGGCTCGGCTTGCCATGTACAAGGTGCTGTGGTTGACCGACTCGTACGAAAGTGCAGCAACGGATGTTCTTGCAGGCATGGACCAAGCAATAGCAGACGGAGTGGATGTCATGTCTCTGTCGCTCGGCTTTGATCAGACACCCTATTACGACGACGTTATCGCAATTGGCGCGTTTGCAGCCGTAGAGAAGGGCATCTTTGTTGCCTGTGCGGCTGGCAATGATGGGCCATCCCCCAACTCCACATATAATGGTGCTCCCTGGATTATGACTGTTGGGGCAGGGACCATCGACCGGAGCTTCGCCGGGTCGGTGACGTTAGGTAACGGTGTTACGGTCGAGGGGGCATCCTATTCCTTAGAAGATGCCTCTGTGTCTGGGGCCCCACTGTATTATGGTGTAGGGAATGCAACCGAGATGGCATGCTCATCTCTTGACCCAGCAAAAGTTCGAGGGAAGGTGGTCCTCTGCTATTCAGCCCAACCGTCCAGTGTCTCTATGCAGCTCAGCGAGGTGGTACGCCGTGGCGGAAAAGCTGGAATTTTTGTGGCCGACATAGCTGATCTCTATCCAGAGGATTACATTATTCCTGCTGTGCTCCTGAGAATTAGCGACGCAAGCCAACTGATGGCTTACGTAAATGGAACAACCAACCCCACCGTGCTTGAGATGAAGTTGCAAATCACAAAGATCAATGTCAAACCAGCTCCCCAGGTGGCCGACTTCTCTTCGCGTGGCCCTGATCCAATAAGTCCTGGAGTGCTCAAGCCCGACATTCTAGCGCCAGGTGAGGATGTGCTAGCGGCATGGAGGCCAGTGGATTCTTCCTCTACTGGTGATTATGCGTCCACACCATACATATTGGCATCAGGGACCTCAATGGCATCGCCACATGCTGTCGGAGTGGCAGCCCTACTGCGAGCGGTGCACCCAGACTGGAGCCCTGCCGCCATCCGCTCCGCCATCATGACCACAGCGATCACTGTCGACAATGCTCGAGGAACAATCAAGGACCAATTCCATGGGGAGCCTGCAACCCCTCTACAATTTGGTGCTGGTCATATCAATCCAAATCGTGCCATGGATCCGGGGCTAGTCTATGATTTGGCGACTCAGGACTACATTGAGTTCATATGTGGTCTAGGTTACAACGAGACTGAGATGGCCACTGTCATAAGGCGAACAGTGTGGTCATGTCTTGACAACCCTCCTGAGCTCAACTATCCATCTTTCATGACTGTGATTCCGATAAATTATACATCCTTTCCAATGACTAAGAATTTCACAAGGGTCCTCACTAATGTTGGTGATGGACCTGAGGACTACGGTTCTCAAGTTGAGGTCCCAAAAGGAATGAAGATTAAGGTGGTTCCAGAGTCTTTATCGTTCAAGGGCGAGGGCGATAAGCAAACGTTCATGGTCTCCATGGAGATAGATGCAGAGCTTTTCAGTTCAGGGAATGTGGCCTATGGATTCCTCAGATGGGTTGGTTTGAAGAAGCTACATCTGGTCTCGAGCCCAATTGTGTTGGCTCTGCAGTGATTCTATCAAGGAACACTGTATCGTTAGTGCTTTGAATAATTGGATTTGCAGGATCTGTTTATCTTTGGCACGAGAAGGTGACAGTCACCAACCATCTTTTTGATGCCTGTCATAAAGATCAAGAAAACCATCTTTTAGATGCCTGTCGTAAAGATCAATAAGTTTTTGATTGAGTCTGTCAACGGAGATTTTTGGCTATCCGATTTAACATCTAATGGCTATGAATGATTGTTACCTTGTTGTGCCAAAGATAAATAATCCTATTATACACTTTCCCTTGCTAGGTGTACCCATGTTACATTTGAACTGGACGCTCTGTGTCCATCTTGTAACGGGCGTATGGTGCATGGATTGTCATTTGTTTATAAAGTAAAAATAATAGGACGCGGTTGCCATGCGGCCAAGCCCTAGAAATGCGGGCTTGGTAATATATATTTTTTTAATATAATTTAATCTTTTTTTTTAGAGAATATATAATCTTTAATATGGAGATCATGAATATAGAAAAATAAATAAAATTTGAAAACTAGAACATAATAATTATATAAAGAGAACATTTGGACTGTTAGTTATAATTGTTTTTAGATCGACCACCTATTTTCATCCATCTTTAAAATAGATGTTTTATACCTCTAGACCGCATATTGTACATCATGCATGTAACAATTGTTCTAAATAATATAGTGTGAAGTAGTGTTCGAAAAATTGGACCGGCCTCGAAAATTGGGCAAGGGCAAGTTCTGAATAATTGATAAATTGGCCAGTTCTACCTATTTAATCGAGCAAATTCCGACTGATAAAAATTGTATTAAAAAATAAAAAAATACAAAAAGATCTATAACATGTAAAAACTCTTTTTAAAGCATGATTAAACAAAACCCATTCAAATGGAGTTCAAAATTATTGAAAAGAATGGATTTAAAAAAATCGATTTGTGCTTAAGTGTATTTTTGAATATTTCAAAAATGATGAGAAAATGTAAAAATAAGTATTAATGGCCAAAAGACTTTCCAATCTTTTTCAAACTGATGAAAGACATTAAAAAATTTATTACAAATAAATCTCATATTTTATAGGATTTTATATAAATTTTTAAAATTGTTTTAAAATACCTGGTCAGTCTACCTAATATTGTCAGATTCGCTTCGGAGTCTTTATCGGTTTGGTGAGAAAAATGAAGCAATTCAGTGCTTTAGCAGATTTGGAGGAAGACTTCGGATCTTTTAATTTTTTTTTAAAAATCACAAAATATTTTTATATTGATATTTCTTTTCTTGGGCCAAAAAGGTTGAAGCTTTGGTCGAATCCACCTGAAGCAGACCTAAATTTGACGGAAGCGGCCCAAATCGGACTGAAGTGGCAACACCATTATATAACATTATGGAAAATTAAAAATTAAAAATTCAAAAAAATATACTTTTGCATTGATGTTTCTTTGCTTGGGCCAAAGAAGCAGAAGCTTCGGCCGAATCTGCCTGAAGCAAACCCGAATTTGATCGAAGTGGCCTGAATCTGATCAAAGCATCAGTACCGCACTTTGCTTTGCTTCAGTCTAGGCCTAAAATCCGAAGGCCGAAGCAAAGCGAATTTGACAACACTGAATCTACCATAACTGGCCAAATCCGAATTGACTAGTGCCCGGTTCCAATTTTACCGCACGGTTCTTATTTGAACGGGCCGAGTTTGCAAACGCTGGCGTAGAGTTATTCTTAGGATAAGAGTTGGTTTAAGACCTATTTTGTTGTGATTTTAAGCTTTGACATGATATATTGGTTATTTATGCTCAACATGCCTGTTTGAGTTCAGGCAATTTTTTTTGGTGAATACTTTAGGCCACGCCTTAAACATGCCAAGTGCCATGGTCTAAAATCTTGCTTAGGACATAGGCATTAGGAATTCTTTTCCGCAATTTCACAATTTTGTTCCAACAGCTTTCTAATTGGCCGTCTACTTCCTTTGCAGCCAATAAGAACCGGACCGGATCGGCCAGTTCAAACTAGAAATTGGTGAGCCAGCCCAATTTCTGATCCAGTCAAGCGTAAGAACTAGTCATGCCCATTGAACCGGCGACGATTTGGTAGTCTAGCTGGTTCAATTACTGGACCAGCCAATCCACCGGTTCTTAAGTGAAATGGTTAGTCCAAAGGGAGGTAGAAAAGATTATTTATGCCTCTTCTTTTATGTTTTTCAAAGAAGAATTTTCTCTATGACAATTAATGTCATCTTCATTACCAACCATATCCAAAGCACACAATACTTCGGTTTTTGTAATTATGTGCTTTGGATGTAGGTAGGTCTTATAATTGAGGGGAAAGTGGGAGCTTATGTGATAATGTGATGTGGGTAGGATTTGGGTTTGATGAACTAGTTGACTTGTTGAATAGTATAGGTTGGACATATATAAACGACCGACATGTTTTGCTTTCTATGTTAATTAGTTTATTTATTTTTTCAAAATTTTTTAATATGCATAGTAGCACCTCATCTAAACGCATAAAAAATAAAAAAAAAGGTGTAAAAAATGAATGAAATGCTCTGACCCATCGGTAAATGCCACTTGAACGATGATTCAATCTAGGTTATTTGGCTCACATAATCTTTAAAAAGATACAAATGGAAGTTATTCACCATTAGAGGATGAATCCTCTGGCCTCCATGCCGCTAGCAGGTCCTCACCTAGAATGTCCGGCTTGAGCACCCCAGGGCTGAGTGGGTCAGGGCCATGCGAGGAGAAGTAGGGAGCTGTTGTGGTCTGGAACTTCTTCTCTAAGCACGGTGGCGTAGCTTGTTACACATGTAATTCGTCACTTGGCTTGTGTCGCTAGTTCTCAGGATCACAACAGGAACAGTGAAATCCCCTGGATCGAGATACATTGAGTCGGCCACAAAAATTCCGGCTTTTTGGAGTCATGAAAATTGTAAGACCTACCCATATCCAAAGCACATAATACAACTGGTTTCATATTCATCACCAACCAACACACACTAGGAAAAGAGCGTACATATGTAGCGCAGGAGATCGGTGTGTGGCATGAGTCATATGGTGATTAACTCATGGTGCATGTTTGATAAGAAGGATTGTGAAGTCAAGTATTCCTGGCTTCCACAGAATGTCACGTTGGTGAACATTCAGCATTCGATAAATACTTTATAAGCTTGGACTTTACAGCTTCCAGCATTTATGATAGAGAACATTGTACATGGTTCTTATCTTTTCATATGGTTATGCGTAGACCATAGTTAGCAATTAATGGTAGACAATTTTTATTTCTACTTTTATTTCTTTTCTCCCAAAACTTTCTCTAGTTCTCTGCTTCGGATATGGCGCTTATCTTTTCATATGGTTATGGGTAGCCCATAGTTAGCAATTAAAGGTAGACAATTTCTTTCTAGAAAGATGAAAATTGAATTCACCTACCCATAACTTGAAAATTATATTTATAGGGAAATCATTTTTATATTAATTGATATATATGGAGTGAAAGCATTATTCCTCACTACTATTAATTTTTTGATATATATATATATATATATAAATTTTTAAAATTTCTAATATTTTAAATATATCCGATTTTTTGACTCCAATTTTTTTGAGCCTAATCCGATATATTCGCGATCTCTTTATATGAAGTATTTTTACCAATCCATATTTTTTATCCGATTCTTTTATCTGACTTTTTAGAATAAAAACGATTAGTTTATGATTTGATGGCGTTTATTGTTAATCCCCGACTTCCTAAGGGCCACACTCTTATGTCCTAAGAAAAACAAAACAAGGATTACATATCCAGTTGTTAAAATATCATTTATCGACTTACGAAACATCGAAAATACCATTTTTGTTTCTTGTAACCGGCTCTTCTTGGTCCCTTTTAAAGCTCTAACTTCGTGGCTTAATGTATGGTGGGTGCTTTACATCGCCAAATCATGAGGACTAAAACCTTGACCCTGACTATCCCTACTTCTCTTTATTCGTGCCGCTCTACTGTTCAGGGCCACCCCCGCGTCCGATGAGTATGGGAACTACATCATCCACGGGGACATGTCCCACAAGCCCACTTTCTTTTTCACTCATGAAGAATGGCACAAGTCCATGCTGGCATCAGTTTATGCCGAGGCGGGCCACCTCTACACCTATAGCCACGTCATGCATGGCTTCAGTGCTAGACTCTGTCGAGCCCAGTTGGCCCGGCTTGAGCAGCTGCCGGGCCATCGCGCCACCCGGCGCGATGCTTATGCCAAACTCTTCACCACCCGCACCCCGCGGTTCCTGGGCATGAGCAAAAACAATGGGATTTGGCCGGTAGCCTCCTTTGGTCGTGATGTTATCGTGGGGATCATTGACACTGGGATTTGGCCGGAGAGCGAGAGCTTCTCTGACCATGGGTTTGCTGTAGTGCCGGAGAGGTGGAAGGGGGCATGCGAGAATGGTACGGGATTCACCCCATATCTCTGCAACCGGAAACTCATCGGTGCTCGCTCTTTCAGCAAGGGTTTACGAGCCGCTGGCCTACCAATCTCTCAGGATGATTACGACTCCCCTAGGGATTCTGATGGGCATGGCACGCATACATCCTCAACAGCTGTAGGCAGTGCTGTGCATGGTGTTAGCTACTATGGCTATGCGAAGGGAACAGCGACGGCTCGGCTTGCCATATACAAGGTGTTGTGGGTGACCGACACGCTCGAAAGTGCAGCAACGGATGTGCTTGAAGGCATGGACCAAGCAATGGCTGATGGAGTGGATGTCATGTCTTTGTCGATCGGCTTTGATCATACACCCTATTACGATGATGTTATCGCAATTGGCGCATTTGCGGCTGTAGAGAAAGGCATCTTTGTTGGCCGTGCGGCTGGAAATGATGGGCCATCCCCCAACTCCACATATAATGGTGCTCCTTGGATTATGACTGTTGGGGCAGGGACCATCGATCGGAACTTTGCCGGGTCGGTGACGTTAGGTAATGGTGTTGCGGTCGAGGGCGCATCCTATTACACAGAAGGTGCCTCTGTGTCCGGTGCCCCTCTTCATTATGGTGTAGACAATGCAACCGAGATGGCATGCCCATCTCTTGACCCAGCCAAAGTTCGAGGGAAGGTGGTCCTCTCCTACATTCTCCACTATCTATGATCCACTTAGCGAGGTGTCACGCTGTGGCGGAAAATCCGGAATTTTCGTGGCCGACTCAACGGACCACTATCCGGAGGATTACATTGTTCCTGCTGTGATCTTGAGAACTAGCGATGCAAGCCAAGTGATGGATTACATAAATGGAACAATCAACGCCACCGTGCTAGAGATGAAGTTCCAGATCACAAACATCAATGTTAAACCAGCTCCCCTGGTGGCTGACTTCTCTTCGCGTGGCCCGGACCCAATAAGCCCTGGGGTGTTCAAGCCGGATATTCTAGCGCCAGCTGAGGACGTGCTAGCAGCATTTAAGCCAGATGATTCATCCTCTAATGGTGATTATGTGCCCACACAATACATGTTGGAATCAGGGACCTCAATGGCATCGCCACATGCTGTCGGAGTGGCGGCCCTACTGCGAGCGGTGCACCCAGACTGGAGCCCTGCCGCCATCCGCTCTGCCATCATGACCACAGCGATCACCATCGACAATGCTCGAGAAACAATTAAGGACCAATTCAATGGGGGCCCTGCAACCCCTCTACAATTTGGTGCTGGTCATATCAATCCAAATCGCGCCATGGATCCAGGGCTAGTCTATGATTTGGCGACTCAGGACTACATTCAGTTCATACGTGGTCTTGGCTACAATATGGCTGAGATGGCCACTATCATAAGGGGAACCATGTGGTCATGTCTTGAGAATTCTCCCGAGCTCAACTATCCATCTTTCATGAATATCATTCCAGGAAATGATACATCCTTCCCAAAGACTAGGAATTTCACGAGGGGCCTCACTAAGGTTGGTGATGGACCTGAGGACTACCATGCTCAAATTGAGGTCCCAACAGGAATGAAGATCAAGGTGGTGCCAGAGTTTTTATCTTTCAAGGGCGAGCGCGATAACCAAATGTTCGTGATCTCAATGGAGATTGATGCAGAGCTCTTTAGCTCAGGGAGTGTCGCCTATGGATTCCTCAGGTGGGTTGGTTCGAAGAAGCCCCATCTGGTCTCGAGCCCTATTGTGGTGGCTCTTCAGTGATCCTATCAAGGAACCCAATATGGTTAGTGCCATGAATAATTGGATCTATGGTATTGAATACTATAAGATCATTTACCTTTAGCACGAGAAGGTCACACTCACCAACCACCTTTAATTATCTGCAACAAAGTTCAATTTTTTTTTTGTTTTGGCCAACCGATTTTTACATCTAATGACTAAGAATGATTGGTATCTCGTTGAGCCAAAGATAAATATCTGATAATAAACTTTCCCTTGCTAAAGTTACCCATGTTACATTTGAATTGGACGATCTCATTCGATCTTGTAATGCGCATATCGTATATGGATTGTCATTTGATTATATTGTATAAATAATATAGGGGACTGTAGACAATGATACCGTTTGCCTTTGGTAAAGTGAGCTCAAAATTATTTATAACCATTCGATGTGAAAAATGATAGCTCGAGGGTGTCACAAAGTTCAAAAAATTTGGGGGTGTCACAAAATTCAAAAAATTTTCTTTGCACTTTGAGCTTGGTCAATAAATAAATGCAGCCACCTATTTTCACAACCATTGGTCAAGACTAATTGTGACCACCTTATAGCAAAGACAAATATTGCCATTACATACTTTTTATACTTTCCCATAATATAGTTTGAAGTTATTTTCAAGATGAGAGCATGGTTTAAGACCTTTTTGGTCATTTTATGCTATCTATAACATGATATATTGGTTATATATACTCAACATGCGTGTTTGAGGCCACGCTTTAAACATGCCAAGTGCCATCTTCCAAAATCTCGCTTAGGACATAGGCATTAGGATTCCTTTTCGGCTATTTGACAATTCTGTTCTAATATCCTTCTAATTAGCCGTAGTCAATAAGAACCAGACCAGATTGGTCAGTTCGAACGAATTGAAAATTGAACCGTTTCTATTTCTTGATCGGTCAAGCGTGAGAACCAGTCATGCCCATTGAACAGGCCATCAACCAATGGATTGGCTGGTTCAATTACTGGACCGGTTGGTCCACTGGTTCTTAAGTGAACCGGTCAGTCCAAATGGGATGTTTTGCGCCTCTTCTTTTATGTTTTTGGTAGAATATAAAATAGTGTATTGTGTCTTTTAACATAGAATGGCATATATATATATATATATATATATATATTACTAACAAAAGATACAACGTATATTTTGCCTCCTTGGGAGGATACTGTGTATCTACTCCCTCACTCAAAATATCTATTTAAGAAGTGTTTTGTTTTTAATTCAAAATTTTGGGAACCAAATAACAACTATAAGATAATTATTTTCAAAATAAAAGATTGGAAGTTTGAGTTTTGTAACACCAAGATCTAGCCCTTAGAAATTGGACGTCCTCTTTTCAATCTTGAGGTATTAGTTTTTTTTATAGTATATTGAGCGTTTATTTTGGAAATTCGTTTTATTAATATTAATCTATAGGTTGTAGAGGTTACATCCCAAAAATTTGAGATCCAAACAAATATCCCTAGCATGTGTTTTGCCCAAGGGAGTTAGTAAAAAAAGATACTCCCATGGGTTATGAAATCTTTTAGGAAAAAGAGCACGTATACTATGCTCCGCCAAGAGCATATTATGTCTGGAATTCTCTTTTACTAAGATTAGTCTATAGGTTGTAGAGATGCATCAGCATCATAGATTTTTTTCAACTATTCGGGGTTGCTTATATGAATCATGGTACACCATTCTGCTTTATGAAGGACCAAACTTTCAATGAGGCTATAAGTCCCCATATCTTTATTTAGTACTTCCAACCAATGTTTAAAAAAAGAAATAGATCGGTGACCCAAATCGGTCTCACCCATACTCGTGTTGGATCAGTGGATCGATCAGAGAATCCGTCGAATCTGCAATATTTGTCTAAGTTTTTTTCTTTCAAAAAACCACTATAAATCTCTAAAAATGTAAAGTGATATATTATGTACTTTCATTACTTTGTAAGAATAAGTAAATCTTGAGACGTTGTTTTATTGTTTGGATGTCTGTATAATTATTAATTACAATATAGTAATATAATATTATATCAAAATAATTTAAAAATATTTAAAAATTCCATATTATAAGATTAAAAAAAATAATTTCCCATATAAACTGAAATTAATATGCCATCCAACATTTAGTAATTCTCTTTCCTCTTCCAAAATTATCACAATCTAACTAACTATAATATTATATATTGAAATTAAAATTATTGTTTTATATTTTATAATCATTTTACTATAAAAATAAGAACAAATTTGAAATTTGAGTTGTAATATTATCTAATTTAAAAATCTAATTTACAACTATATCAAAAAATTAATACATTATATAATTTATAATGTAACTATATTTGTAAATAAAATATAAAATTTCGTTATCATTGCAATTAATTTAATTATTAAGTATAATATTACAATAAACATGATCCAAAAAATTTAAGGGTATGACCCTCACAAATAAATAAATCTAAACCGTAATAATTACTCTGGACAAAAATATAGAATTTAGAATCATAAACTTGCAATCATATTTTAATAAAATTAAGAAAATAAATAAAGAAATTCATACTTACATTATGGAATAATTGATAAAGTAACTTGAAAATAAATTCTAAAGTGGTTTGAGCTAGTGTTATTTTTCTCTCTTAAAATATCCCATAAACTAGTTTTTATTTTTTAAAATATTCAATAAACTAGTATTAATATTATTTTTTACTTTTTCAATATCATATGAGCTTGTACTATTTTTTTGAATCCCAATTAATTAATTGAAAAGTATACCATGAGACCATTTACTTTTGGTATAAGAAGGTCACAATTAATCTTGATCATTTGATGTGAAATTGGGTGGTCATATTTATTCCATTGGCCATGTTCAAAGTTCAAATTTTTTTTTTATCAAACTTTGTGACACACCCAAGTTCTCAAAGTTCATATTGGATGGATATAAGTAATTTTGACATCCTTGTACCAAAGATATATGCTCTTAATATATATAATCCCTTAATTAATAGCCTAATATTAACCATATAACGAAATAATCCTATGAGCTAAGAGCCTAATAGTATTAGTCAATGTAACCGTTGTATTACAAGTTGTAAATTGATATTCCAATAGAAAAGGGCATGTAAACTGGCGTGGGAGGAAAATGGAATACGATAGTTGTCCCACATCGAAGAGATATGGGAAGAAAATTGTATATAAAACAAAGGGAAAGGTTTCTATGCTTCCCGTACAACATAAACGATATATACATCGCCCTTTATCCAGTGTCCAATTTAGATCAAGTGAGCTACTAACCATTCAATCTAGATCCGAAGACTCAAATTATGTTATTTTTAATTTTTTTACTAATTATATGAATATCAAATTTGGTACGTTCCATCACCTCAATGGGGAGCACCTAAATAAAATATTTTAAAAAATATTTGATAAAATACAATGATAAAAACACTCCTTAAAATTTTCAGGGGCATTTGGTCATTGTATTTTGTAAGGAATACTTTTTTTTTACATATTTATATAGGTGCGCATTCAAGAGTGGATTGGACGTCCAAATTTTTGTGTCAAAATGTTTTTATAAAAAAAAATAAAAATAAAATAGTAAAAAGGCACATCATTGTAATTGGGGTCATCTGTGTGGTCCATTTAGAATGGACGGTTGGATAGAGGGCAATATAGAAGTTTTATGATGTAGGGGAACCATAGAAAGGTTGTCCTAAAACAAATTGACCCAACTTCACGCAGATCAAAGTGGGCCACAGGGCCACGTTCATACTCCAACTTTAGTCCCACGCAACAGTGTTCCATGGATGACATCAAGGGTGGGCAACAACTTCTATTTTTTTAATAGAAAAATGGTACGTACAGGATAGACCTGGCGATCAATGAGATCTATGATGTCAACAGGGTGATTCAAGGTCAAGAATCGATCGGATCCTGATTTTTTTATAGATCCGGGATGGCTTAATCGATACCCTATCTAAATTGCCCGATTCCAGATTGGGTCACCAAATTTTTAAATATTGCTTCCAATCATGGGCTTTTGGGCCTATCCCTTGCTTTTTTTTAATCTTCAACGTAAACCAACTCACACCTCTTAACAAGTGTTGTACGAAGTTTGTATTGCATATGACCGGCCCACTTAAATCAACTTTCTCTCATCTTATCGCATATTAGGCCCACACCTAAGTTCTCGCTAATGTATTTATTTTGAATTCCATCCCTACTTGTCTTGCCACTCATCCCTAAAATTTGAGATTCAAATAATATCGCTAGCATGTAGTTTGCCGGAGGGATTAAATAAATAGTGTACTCCCATAGGAGTTGAAAATCTGTTAGGGAAAAAAAACGTTTAGGCTTTATAAAAGAAATTTAAGGGCCTCTTTGGGAACATGGATTTTAGGGCATAGATTTTTAATATCTTGAATATTATCGAAATCCAACATTTGGTTTGCTCAATGGCTAGGATATTAGAATTTCAGGGAAATTAAATTTTTTAGAAATCATTTAACTTTTCCATGATTTCATTTCCCATCAAAGAAAGTATGTTAAATTTTAATAGAGAAAATCTATATCAAATTTTAAAGAGAGAATACCTAAATTTTTTTAGAGAGATAAACTATCTAAAAAAATTTAGAGAGAGAAACTATCTCAAATTTTAAGTTTTAGAGAAAAAAATATATCAATTTTTAGAGAGAGAAAGTACTTGAAAACTTTTAGAGAGAGAAACTATCTCAAATTTTAAGAGAGAGATACTATCTCAAATTTAAAGTTTGTGTGTGAGAGAGATAGCATCTTAAAATTTTAGAGAGAGAAAATATATCAAATATTAGAGAAAGTACCGCAAAATTTTTTTTATGGATAGAAATTATCTCAAAGTTTTTAGAGAGAGAAACTACCTCACATTTTAAGTTTTAGATAGATAATATGTATTAAAAATTTAAAGGTAGGAGCTATATCAAATTTTAGAGAGAAACTACCTAAATGTTTTTAGAGATATAAATTATTTCAAATTTTTAGAGAGAGAAACCATCGCAAATATTAAGTTTTAGAGAGAGAAAGTATATTAAAATTTTGAAGATAAAAACTATATCAAATTTTAGAGAG